ATTGTACTTAAGTACAGTAACGAAGTACAAGTACTTCGTTACTGTACTTAAGTACAATTTTCCCACCACTGGTAAGATGTCGTTCTGTATCGTCTAATAAACAGAAGCACATACGGCAGCTCAGAGAGCATTGATGACCGTGCAACAAATGCCCAAAAACAGTTCCCTCTTCTTCTTTTTTTTTTTTTTTCTGTCCACAGCTGCACAGCCCATGTGATGTTTTTAGAAACCTGACAACAGAACTGCATCACTCTCTACAGGCACTGCAGTGACTAACTACCTTTACTAAGAACAAGCTGCAGCTACACCGACACTACTGTGCAGAAAATATAGCTTACTGCCCCATTGAGTGTGGAATCCGATACATTTTAAGAATCACATCAATCATTCCAGGTATCGATATCTTATACAAGTTCACGAGAAGCTTCGCGAATCTGATGTCTAGGTATAAAATAAAAAGGAGCCCATATCTCTTCTGTGACAGCTCAGACCAGGAGTTTTCATTGTGACATCTGGTTTTTCTTCGTTTTTAAAGCACTACACTCCACTTTACCTTCTTTGACCAGCTGCACAAACACAGGGTTGTCACCGCTGACGGTAAGCCCAAAGCCATTTTCATCTTTCTGAATGATCACACATCGCTGGACCAGACCTGTAAGGTGAGACAGGACAGAAAACACAATACAGTAAGTACATAAAGACTAGGAAGTAGATAAAAGATGGCACTTTGAAGTTAGAAAAAAAAACAAACACTGTGGAAGAGGAATACACTACAAGTCGTATGTTCTCGTGCATGACTGAATTTGAAATTACCAAAGTTTACTTTAACATTTTAAGCTTAACTAAAAGGAAAGTTGATGTAGTTTGAGTTTCACATCCCTACATGCAAATAAAAATAAAAAAAATACCAGAATTTGTGTTTGTTCCTCCTACCCTATTAGTCACACTGAAAGCAGTCTCAAAGGGAAATTTGTGTAACCAGAATGGTCAAGAGAAAGAAGCTATGAAGCTGATAGATGTGAATAATGCCTTTAAACAGCTGCTGTTAGAACATACAGTAAAGATTGCTCGATGCAAATAATACTTTATGTGTTATGGCAACATAGCAATGGCTCACTTAACTTTTGTGACGTTTTGTTTTTAGTCCAACATAAAGTATTGTTTAATTATGGAATAAGTTGAATGACAATGATATATAATGTTCTTTTTTTTTTTTTTAAACAAAATTCTGACATGCTTGGAATGCATGTATTCAGTTTGCAGAAGCAATTTTAGCTGCAAGTACACCTGCAATTCTCCTTGGTTTCTGTTTTTATCACTTTTGCACATGTAGAGCATGACAATTACCAAATTAGCTAAGGCTCAGTCAGCTGGGATATATTTTGACATTACTGCCACAAATTTTCAATTAGATTCAGCCCTGGGCTTTGACTTGGACATCCTGCCACATAAAGATGGTTTGATGTAAATCACTGCATTTTAACTTTGGCTGTATGTTTAAGGTAACTGTCCTTCAGAAGTGTGGACATTGGCCTCAGGCTCAGGCCATTAACTGTTTGGGTCTTAGTGATGACGTTTGTTCACTAGCAGAACAGTTTGTGTTATACCGAGGTTAAGTTGGCGAAAGGTCAATTCCTATTTTCTTACCTGGATGGTGCTTGAAAGCAACTGGCTGCACTGGACTTTATTAATGGATATCGCAGTAAAGGAGGAGGCAAATAAATGCACAGAACACATTTTAGATTCTTCTTTCCACTTCGCATTATTTTACTTTGTGTTGGTCACGTCGGTAATCGTTAAAAATGATAAGGTCTGTGACTGCACGTAAAAGAATGTCACAAAGTTCAAAGGGTTTTAACGCAAGGAACCGCATCCAGAGATCAGAAAGATCAAAATAGGAACGTTACTTGACAGGTTTTTCGTTTCCTGCTTTGTTTTGTGACCACAGAGAAAGGAGCTTATCTCGTGTGGATGACAAGAGCCAGACTAACCAGAAAGCTAACGAGAACACAGTTGTTAAAAAAAATATATACAAAATTAAACAATTACTCTTAAAACAACAAACCTTCATACATCTTTTAAGAAGCAGACGTTAAACACGATAACTTATTTCGTCCAGTAAATTTTATGGTCAATTCAGCAACGGCAATAAAGATGTTCACCAAAAAGGGGTTAGATGGGGGGTTGGAAATTGGAGGGCGCAGCAGCAGCTCTTATAAGGGAGGCAGGCCAGGAAACCAAATGGCACAGTCTGGGGGGGAGGGGGTGGTGGCTGGTGGAAAAGAGGGTTAGGTAGATCTGAAAGAGCAGGGGGATGGGAGGGGATGAGAGGGCAGGGGTGTCAGGGACGCAGATAAAGCCGTTTGGGGAACAGAGCTGGTGTGAATCTGCCTCTAGATCTGATTTTCTGTCTTTCGCTGAAATGTTCAAAATCTTCAGGTGGCATGAACAATGGCAGTGAGGGATTTGAGAGTGGCCTTGTAATTACTGCTCAGGTTAAACCATCTGAGCTCATGCATTATTCAAACGTTCAACTCATATGTAATCGGCACCCTTCACTGAAACACATGGGAATATCCTCTGAGGGGATAGACTGACCTTTAATGCAGCCGAGGTGCTTTCGGCATCACAACGCCAAAAGAGAGGAACCAAAATCAATAAAGTGCGGCTCATGAAATTCAGACACTTTTCCTTACATCTAGAGCTGAGGCAAATGAAATCCGAACGTTATTTTTTATTTTTTTTTGCTTGTGATGAATCCCTGAAGTTTGATATGTATGATCGCTGAAGCAAGGGAAGAAACAAAAACAGACAAGACACACCTACGCTGTCCTAATAATGACAGGAATGTGTTATCTTGATCATGCTTTCTAGAAAGGAACTGAAACGTCGTCACTGCGGACCGCTCCGTCTGACAGCAGCTTTAACAATGTGTTCTGTCAGTGGGCTTTATATAACTTCAGGCTACTGCTATGAGTCATTTGATTAGAAATCTCAAATGAACTGACTGTGTGGGCCATTGCAGTGTTGAAACAATCTCCCAACTGATGCGAGAGACATGAGAGGGCAGCAGCAGCACTGACACCGCCGGGACGACGGCGCCCCATAATGACCCCGTTAGCATGGATTCAGGAAATGAGGCCGAGAGCTTAGTTTTATACCAGGCCACGGACCAAGATGAGAATCTCATGGTGTGAAACATCTCGACTAAAAAAATACCAGACTTTTAGGTTCACAGAGAATTTTGTCATTCAAACCAGAAATTAAATATTACAGTATTTATTACTATTATAGTAGGAAAAATGTTTGCTTTAACATTTGATTATTCTTATCTGACCGAACCAAAAATATAAAATGAGCACATTTTATTAGTTTTAACTGCTTGTTGTGGAGAGTATCACACCTTTTTGCCGTTCTGCTCAACACCAGTAAGCTCATATCTAGTTTAACTAATTGGGATGTCATCTTCTCTAGCAATTCATTGAAAGGACTTTAAACCACAGGAAGGGTATGATAGATTTTAAAACATCAACATACGTTGGTGCTGGAAAAAAAATAAATAAATAAAAAGCCTATTTTTCTAAGCCATTAACAAGTTCTAGTAATAATATATTCAATAAAGGTTTAACTGATCCAAGATTAAACTATTAAAAACATACAGGATCCATAGAGTGACATGGCTCTTGTACTAAAAATTAAGTGTTTACAATCATCCTGTTCACCAGTTTTATTGGTCTGATGAAATACTCTTAATTTTAAATGCCATCTAGTCACTGCCTGCAAGTGGAAAATCCTAATTACCAGAAATAAAGGCTTTCAAACATCCCTCTGTGTGTCATTTATCTATATAACGTGTTTTACTTAGAATTGAAAGTTCCTGAAATAAATGTACTTTTCAGTAATATTCTAAGTTATCAAATGGGTCAGCTTATTAAGTTTTTAAAAGTCACAATTTCAAAATTGTTCAGTTCTTCCATCGAACCAATCTAATGTTTCAAAGTCCCTTCAATAAGAACTGAGGTACCACGGACATTACTGCTGTGACTGTGAAGAATCTTATTCGTTCCCATGCCTAGGAAACAACATCATATAGGTCAAACATAAAAATATTTTAGCTGCATATCTTTCAATAAGATACTTATTAATCACTCTCTGGCATGATTCTCAATGTTTTTTGCTTACAAAGTCTGTAAATCGCACGCTTATGTAACTTATCTCTCCGGCTTATCCCCTTGATTTGGTGCCCAGCTCTGACTTTGCGTCACGCAGGCTAAAATTCACATTTTAGCCCGGCCATTCGTCATTTTCTATCGGCAACTTCACACCAGGACGTTAATGCCGGCGATCGCACCACGAAACGTCTTACCACAGGACTCAGGCTTCCCCTCTGCAAGCACACTGTTGTTGCCACTCTTCTCCACCACCAGAGCTTCTGCTCACAGCCCCAACCAGAAGCCAGCAGCGCACAAACACGTAAACAAAAATAAACGACAACCAACACATGAGAAGGAAACACAAAACAGGAGAGAGAAAATCATGAGGAAGAAACAATCATGGGAGAAGAAAAACTAAATGAACAGAAAGGGCAGCATCCCTCAACTGTCACCCATTGACTTGCGCTTTAGTCAATGGGTGCATGAGGACGTCAGTGTCCTCATGACAGTTAAGGGGTTAAATGAGAGTCATCAGTTTGGAGAAAAGACCACACCCAATGAAGGGTTTTAAATTTGAAGATATAAATCACAGGAGACCACATCTGTGTGATGTTGTATTCTATCTACTGCCCAAACCATTTAAAAAATTGTGATAAATCAGCCGAAATCAAGAGAACAGTTCATGCAACATGCACATACAACATAGATAAGCAGAAACCTACAGCATGCAAACATGCTAAAATGTACAATGAATTCAAAAGTGATTTTTTTTTTTGTTTTTTTTGTTTTTTTTTGTTTTTGTTAGATAAAGGGGAACAAGTCGACGTAAATTTCAAATAAATATAGCTTCAATCCTCCCCGTCTGTGGCGGTCATTTCAGACATGGCGGTAACTGCCACTGAAAATCACATAAATTTATTTGCAGCGACACAAAACAACATGTGGTGAAGAGCGCATCTTGTGTAACTGTTGAGGGGGAAAAAAATAAATAAAAAAATAAAAACAGTCCTGTTTGTACGGCTGCATGACACAGAGATAAGCCACCATGTGCTACAGAGGATTTTCTGTTTTGTTTTGAATACAGAAGCCTTAATCAGATCCTTCGGCGTTCTGCCCCGGCTGATAACCAGACCTGAGGGAAAAGTCACAATATTGCAGCGGACTGGTTTTGGGACCCCAGCAATCTCACCCTGCGAAGATCTGAGATTGGACTGAGGAAGAGACAGAGAGGCTTTCTGTGTCCTTCATGCATAGTGTAATAAAAAGAGATTTGCTCCCCGACAGATTCCTTCTGCTTTTTTGTCACGCTAAAATCTTTCAGTTCATCAAACTAAAGCTAATATTAACTCGTTTGTATAAGTACAAAAGACAGTCGGTTATACACTGAAGATCTTATTCACTAAGAGACAAACCTGACCTGATGCGAACAAGTAATTGCCCCCTAAACCTAATAAATAGTGGCGTCACCCTTGGATAGAAACGACTGGTGTGAAGTGTTTGAGATAACTGGCAAAGAGTCTTTCGCATGACAAGGAGGAATTTTGGCCCAATATTATTAGCAGAATTAATTTCATTCAGCCACAGCTGAGAGTTTTCAAGCATGGTTGGATGTTTAAGGTTATAGCACACCACCGCAGTGGGATAGCCACTGTGAAGTGGACATACTGGTGTGTTTCAGATCAATTTTCTGATGCATAATAAAGTGGCACACTGATGCCTAGACGGTGTCTTTCATTATGTTCTCTTTAGCTACTTCACGACTGAAGCCCGTAAGGTCTGGCCTTGGATCTACATGGATACAATTTGTATCCAATTTTTGTACAACAAAACCTGAACAGAGACAAGTGATTTTCTGCGGCGCTTTAAAAGTTCTTCTGGGTTCTTCGTGACTTCCCGTATGACTCATCGTTGCGCTCTTGGTGTCATGTCGGTAGGCTGGCAAACTCCTGGCAAGGTTCACCACTGTTCCATGTTTTCTCTATTTGTGGAAAATGGCTCTCACTGTGGTTTGTTCGAATCCCACAGCAGACTCAGGGAGGCTTTATGTTTTTTTCCGCACGCCTCTCGGCCCAGTCAGGAGGAGTCCAGCCCATGTTCAGACATGTCACACTGCAGTTTGTTAAGAGTCCCGAAGCCTTACAAATGGCTTTGTAACTCTTTCCAGGCTGATGGATTCATTGACAGGCTCTCTTTTGTTTTTGAATTTCTTCAAATTAGGACAAGATGTGTTACTTTTTGGAGATCGTCAAACAGGTCATATTAGATGTTTTTATTGTTTTGTTTGTGATCAGGCCTTTGTGTGTTTCAAAAAGTGTGTTTTAATTAGAGTTAATTCATTAACTAAAAAGATGGGCATGGTTGTTCTGGATGACTTTTTCCCTAAGAAATTAAATCATCATCTGAAAATGACATTTTACTCTGTCAATCTTTGTCTCAAACAAACAAGCAAACAAACAAAAACTGTTCGTTGAGCTGAAATGTTTAGGAGGAGACGGAATACAGGGAAAACGTTTTTCCTTCGCAACGTAGTATTGACCAGTATAAAAATGAGAAGTATGACACGGCACATACAACAGCAATTGCAAAATACTACTGTACTGTCTGTGGAAAAAGACAGTTCTACTAGTTGCAATATTCAAGACCTTTAATAAAAGCTTTAAAGGTTTTGTCAATAATGTCCAGATGATCATTTCAGCTCACACCAAACATGCAAAGGCTTATAGGCTGCGTGCAGTTGCCAATTCGTGGCTCCAGACTGTGGTCAATGTCTTATTTGGCAACCGGCAACACACTTCCTCCACAACCTCCTTTTAAATGTCATGCATTTTTATTAAACACTATGAAAGAGAATGCAGTGATCAGTTTCTGGGTACATGCCTGAGAAAAAAACCAAGTCCAAACAATGTGAGCAGATTGTCAACTACATTTGTGTCAGCAGTAAGCAGCTTATTGGCACAACCTCCTTAATACTTTATTTAAAGATAAAGGAGGTAAAGATTTTGCAAACCATAGAACGGTATGCAGCCTTAGATTAAGCAAGGAGTGGTATAAGTGCAAAGTGAAAGAAAGTTCCAATTCACGGAGCCTTCTCACACAACAGTTCCTCAATGACGTTGCAGAAATGTCCTTTCACAAGTCGACCTGTGAACAGAGTTTTTGCTGCAATGTCCTCCATATTTCAGGTCAAAAAAAAAAGCCGAATTCCAATCAGATGTGATAAGTCTTTTCAAATGCATGCATCTGCAATATCTGTATTTGTCCAAATCCAAAGTCACACATACATCTTTTTTTTTTTTTTTTATTAAAAGGGTTTTACAAATGTCATCAAAACTGCAGCCATTTTTTTTTGGGGGGGGGGGGGCAGGGTATTTTTACGTCTTTTCTCTTTGTCCTAATTCTGATGGTTTATTGTGGTCAGAAAAAAACAAACATCTGTTTTGATTTCTGAAAAGTTATTTCATTACTATTCAATAACCTAAGCAAACATATAAATTTTTTTGATAGTAGTTGATCCAACCGAGCAGAAAACTGTCCAACTCCAGTCATCTGTCGAGAGACTGGTGAAAACCAGTCGAGTAAATTGCAAATACCCTATGAGTGTCACTGAAGGAAAGTGAGACATTAGTCAGCAGACGGTGTCAACCACTTCAATTATACACCTATTTCAGTGCACTACATAACATAATTTTTTTCTCATTACTGACGACTTAGTCAACAGATATTGTTTTGTTGAATAGTGAGGGAATTGCACTGGAGGTCATTTCTTTGTTCACATGAAAATTTTGTGGTGTCTCCAAACTTACTGTACAGTCCTAATCAAATGATTTAAGTACTAATATTAAAAAAAAAGAGAGAAAATATTATATTATACTCTATTTCAGCAAAAATATACAAACATATATATTCTTTTTAATCTTCCAACACGCATTCTGGTAAATGATTAACAGCACATATTTTGCTTTGCAGCCTTGTGTGTGTTAGAAAGAACAAAGCGTGGGAGGAACGTTCAGCAGTGGCCACAAGAACAAAGACCGTAGAAGAGTAAACATGAAAAACAGAAGAAAAGAAAGAAAAAAAAAAGGATGTCCCTGAGAATGAGAATGTGAAGTTACCTGTAGGGTCAAACTCATTGGAGGAAAGTGAGGCTTTGTCACTTTTGGGTTTCTTGTCTGGGGGATGGTCCTTACTCAGAATGCTGCTGGTTCTAAGGAAAGAAGGACATAAATGAGACATATAAGCCTCGACCAACGGTTCTAAACAAGGAACGTTTCAAAATAATAGTGTCTTGTGGAAATATTTACTTCTTCTACTGCCCATTTCTTAAACTCCCCCACATTTGTGAAACCATTGAAAACACAAACATTAATGTTGATCTTAATAATGTTATGTGATCAACAAAAAAAGTGCAAAACATTAAACATGATATGAGGGTTTTGTAACCTCTTGCAAAAAGAAAAAACAAAGAAAAATGTTGGCGTATATTTGCATTCAAGCCCCAACTAACCTGACAGTCCTAAATAAAATCAAACATAATCAAGAAATCCCTAAATGAAATTGTCTATTATGCATAAACCTGTCTGTCTTGTGAAGGCAGAAGTTATCAGAGAACATTAGTGCACATTTATGCGGCATTGTGAAGACTAAGGGCCACAGCAGAAAGGGCAGCGAGAAAATTGTTGAGAAGTTCACAGCAGGGCTTGGCTACTTAAAATATCTCACGGGGCATATATCAGTGCATTATCTGAAAATGGTGCAACTCGATACATACTAACACATAGTTTTCCAGCTAACATTACAGGCTGAAGAAAGAAAATAAATCAGAAAAGCTGAAAAAAAAAACAAAAAAAAAACAGACTGAAACATGGTGGAGGCAGCATTATGCTGCTTGTTTTCAGCAGGGTTAGCAAAGCTTGTCAGAATCAATGGGTAAGATGTGTGAACTGAATGCAAAGCATTTGAAGGTTAAAAGCTGAAAAGTGGGAGTAGGACGCAACCTTAAACAGAGGAAGTGCTACAGTAGCATGGTCCAGAAAGTCCAGTCAAAGTCCAGACTATATACAACTGAAAATACGCAGCAAGACCTCAAAGACAGTTCTTAGAGAAACTTTCAGCCCCGTCTGACTGAGTAATATCTGTTCTGATAAAAATGGGCAAAGACCTTCATACTCTAGATATGAAAGATAGATAGATATACCCAAAAATGATTTGCAGCTGTATTTGCAAGAAAAGGTTGTAAAGAATAGATTAAGGTTACAAAATTATGCACACAATTTTCAATCTCTTATTTGCAAAATCTGTTTGTAAACCATTTGCCATTTCCACTGAACTTGACACTAACCAAGTGTCGCTGTATCACATTAAATCCCAATGAGATAAACCAAAGTTTGTGGCTGTAAAATGTGAAAAAGTTCAGTGGCTAATGTGCTGATGAGCACAAAATTCAGGCGGGCGAATAATGCCGGTTTATTTTCAGCGCCGAGAATGGCGTTACTCAAAGACCTCGCAGTGAATGAATCGGTCTGAGTGTGTCCACTGTATAATGTGACAGTCGGAGAGGATGTGGAGCAGCTCTGCTGAGTGCCACATAACAGACGCTCCTCGGCGGAGATGCCACAGGACAAAACTCCTGCTTGAACCTATGAGGCGGCTATGTATGGCCGCTTCTGCCTATGCCGGCCCCAACAGTAAAAAGGCCACTGTTTAGTTCGCAGTGGAAGGCAGTCATGGGCTGCTCATAGAAAAGGAAGCCCTTTGTCCTGCGCTTAGTGTGTATGTGTTCATGAATGAGCGGGGGCTGGTGGGGTATGTTTGGTGCAAATGTTAAAGACTTCCATGTTGTAACACGGCAAGACAAGTAAAACTTTAATCTAAGCCTGTGTATGAAAGTTACAGCAGGACAACATAATTAAAAGAATTATGAAAGCCTCGACAAGACGATTTATTTAGAAAAGTCTTACCTTGTCGCTTTCTTGGTAAACCTGCAAAATAAAGACGTCAATAATCAGAAATTTTTATTAAACGTCAACACACAAAGGAGTTAATTACGCTGACGTACAGGATGAAAAGCAAGACGGTTTCAACATTTACTGAGACTCGTATAGTGGTAAACATGATAATCCTCGTCAAACATCAGAGTTCTTGAGCTGCGGATTAAAACCTTTTCCGGGTCAAATCTGCTCTGCCTTTCAGATTTTTGATTTGTGTGCAGCTGTTGGGAGTTTAATTCCTTAAAGACACGACAACTTTATTAAGTAAGCAGGGATTTTATACACATCCAAAAAAAAAAAGAAAAGAAAAAGAAAATAACTTTTGAGGAAATGGCAAATAAGAAATTACTATCCAGCATGTGTTTGTTCAATAATTCACTTTTCAGGACAAGGAAGGAACAAAGTTGACAAGAATCTTTACTCTCAGTCAACACAAACACTGAAGTCTGTGCTATTATTTCCACTGTTACATATATATTTATAGGTACTGTGAAATAGTGGTTTTTAACGTGTGCAAATGTTGTGAACCTGAAGCTGGCAGCTAGCAAACAGAATGGTTAGTATCTTCAACCTAAGTATGGGCATTTATTGTTATAATTGATGATTTACTGTTTCTTATCACCATAAGAATTTTGATTGATTGTTTTTATGATAAATTCTAATTAATGATGTGTAAAATCCCCCAAAGCTGCGCTTATTACAGGGATTGCTAGTTTATTGTCTTCACTGTTTGTTCAATGTGAGTATAAATAAGTAACAATTTATTTGAAAAAAAAAAATAATAATTACAGATAGTGTGTGCAAAGGAATGTTTTGCTATGCAGTCACAGGCATGCAGTTACCCAAAAAAGTAGTAATAAATAGTTCTTATTTTCACTTTTGTTATCACAATAGTACCACAAGATATTATGATAAACCTTGAAGTCCGTATCGCCCATTCCCACTTCCACCAGTAGGGAAAGTCCATAGTGCTGGCAATTCTAAATCAATCAGTCAAAATGCTCAAAAATTGATTTTAGTTTGCTTAATTTTTTTGTAAAAAATATATTTTTGAATAATTATTTGATTTTTATATATTTTTTTCTTTTAAAGCCAAGCATCTAAGCAAATCTAATCCTGGTAGTTTAAGTTACTATTAATGCACAAATCTATTGTTGATTAAATATAAATTGATGGAATTTGATACAGTACCTTATAAGATTGTTTTAAATAAAGGTTTTTTTTTCTCCAAGTCTTTTCCTTTCGTCAGTCACATAATCTCTAGACTGTTTGAATAGAAGAACTGGTTTCTGAATTAAAAATTGTTCATGACTCAAATCATGAACCTAAAACTGGAACTGAATTGCTACACATTGAAAGATATGCGTCTCTAGTAACAATCAGCGCAATATCAAAGTGTGAAATATTGCATTTTCAAAAAGACTGCTTGGACAACATCTGGCAGGATACTATATTCAAGTGTCAGTTCTTTAAGCTCCCTGGATATTGCTAATATATTTGAACAGTTGGACGCACACTCATTGCCCTTAATCCCCTCGACTGAAGTAAATCATTAGTGGCCGAGATGCTTAAGCTCTAGAGGGGTGTGGGGAACATATTTAATGCCAGAAGTGCCAGCAAAATGCGGATGAAACATCATTAATGCTGTCATCAGCTCTTAAAAATAGACTCGAAATTAAATATTTTCTGTCTGATGTACCGCACCTCCAGTTTGCAGGATTCCATAAGAGATAAAGGTTTTCCTGACTGCGGGGTCCAGCGGATTTCCTGACAAACTTTCAGTATTTTAGTGTTTGTACAAAGCCTGTCCCCCTTCGCCACCTGATTTGATTCACCGACAAGTGGTGATCATTTAATAGTTCAGCTGCTCATGTTACTCAAGTGTTCAACATATGTACGTGGTGGCAGAATGTCAGAGACCATTGGAAGGGATTAAAACAGTCCAGCTTCAGACCATAGCGCTACGATTATACCACTAAGCCACTATAACCAATTCATGACAGCACTCATATGCGTGCATTTGTGGAGTAATGTACTGAGTTATGGCCAGTGTGAAGTCCCTGGTAGCATGCTACGTTGTTTCATTTACAAAACACAAAAAATGTAAAAGTTGTTTTGTAAAACAGAAACCACAAGGTGCAGTTTAGACTCACTTTTACTACATTTTACCCTGACGAATCAGGCGCCAATAAAGCCATCTTTAAAAATGCATTATAATGGCCAAATGGTTTTAGTGTCCATTCAGATGCTCTTAATTTTTCATTGATAGGAGCATTTAGATCATATGCATGTTATATGCCAGCTTGTCCAATAGTACCTAATAGGGTGCACGGAAGACATTCAGTGGCAATTCCATTGCAATCTTTTAAAATTGAAAACCCTACTAATATAGCACAAAATGGTCCTACAAATGGAGGCTTCCGTAATGGGGAGGTCTTGCGACTAACCAGCCCACATTAACTCTCTTTCTCCTTGTGACACTGAGTCTCATTCAGAGCCGTGCAGAGGCAGCTGAATGGCCTGTTTATGAAAATGCCTCAGACTGTAATAAGTTCCAGAGCTTCAACCAGAAGAGAGAGAAAAAAAAAACAGCTTTAAGTAGTCCCCTCCCTAAGAAACCTCTGAGTTGGAAAGATGGAAAAGTCAGCACATAAACACACGCATGCATACTGAAACTTTACATGCGCATGCAAAAGTTCAGAGACGGTAAAACTGAGTGGGCCAATGTTCTTAGGAACAATGACTGACATCCAAGCTAGGCTTCAGGTTGAGTGAAACGTCAGCCTTTCTATAATATCTTTATTAAAACAGACAAAGACAAAATGTATCCAAGTAAGATGTGATCTATAAATGACTTTTTAACAAGTGTTTTCTGGGGAAAACCCGAGATTAATCACAGAAACTGTGACTCTGCTGGTTTAGGAAAGCCTTAGTGTGGAACAACTAGAAGTGGTAGCTGGTAAAGATTAAGCTCTGAAAATCTCCGCTTGCTGTCTTTACCTGGTTTTCTACATGTTGTTTTTGCATTTGTCTATCAAACTGCCAAATAAATTTGAAATCAGATGTTTACATACGCTATACAAAGAGACAAAAAAAACAAAAAAATCTCCCTTTTCCTCACTGTCTGACATTACGTCAAAGATTTATGTTTTCCTGCTTTGTGTCAGGTTCTATTAGGAATAATCTACTCAAACACTGAATGACTATACCCCGATCACAATGCTACAGTTATGAAAAGCTTTTAATAGATTGAATAATAAAGGAATTTCCTTGAGGTATACATGCGGATGTCTTAAGGCAACACCTCAAACACGGTGCTACCTTGTGTGACATCATGAAAAAATAAGGAGGAATCAGCTACGCTATCAGAAAGAGAACTGTGGATTTTTTTTTTTCTTATCCAGATATCTGATGTAGCCATCTAGGCAAGCAACTGTACACAAGTATAGACACCATTGGAATGTCCAGTGATCGCACTCTGCAGAAGGAGATAAATAGCTATTTATTCTAACGATATACACATTTCAGAGGAAAATATGTGTATCAACAGTAGAACCGAAGCAAAATACCCGATCGTTCTGGCTGAAGCCGGGACGAGAGCGTTATGATCCACGGTGACAGAAACCCTGTAACAACATGAGCTGAAAAGCTGCTCAGAATGGAAGAAACCAACCACTTCAGAAGCAACACAGAAAACAAAATTCTCTTATGTAAAATTAACTCAGAGAACCAATTTTTTGGACACATGTCCGATTTTCTTACAGAACCGAAGCTGAAATATTTGGCCATAACGGTGACAGCTACATTTGGAGGAAAAGGAACGAATCTTACAAGCTTAACATCACAATTCAAAATGTGAAGTATTTGCTGTGATGATGTTTTGCTAGAGGGGAGACTGGTGCACAAATTAGATGGCATAAGGAGCAAATAACATTATGTGGCAACATCTCTAGACACCTGGCAGGGAGTTAAAGCTTAGGCAGAAATGTCTTTTTCCAAATAGACAATTACTCTAGAAATACAAAAAAAATTAATTACAAAGAGGCGGGAATTCAAAGTGTCTTAGATCCATCGAAATGTTGTTGAGATGAAAAGGTTTCTGAACAAGGTGGCCTACAAACCAGATTCAACGCCAGGCCTGTCAGAATGAATGGGACTAAATCTAAGCAAACTACTAAGAGAAGCTGATGACAGGAGAACCAAGATGTTTGCCCCAAGTTATAAAGTAGAAAAGGCAAATATATCAAATGCAATGTAATAACAAAATCTTAAAAAAAAAAAAAAAAAAAAAACTTTTTTTTTTCTGGCATTTACCAAATAAAAAAACAAAACTTTAGTTATCCTTCTGACCTACAAGTATAGTGAAACTTGAAACTTGATGTTGGGGAAAAAAGGCTTTTTTTCTTTTTCTTTTTTATTTTTTTACAGTTTACATAAGTATCTGCACAATATATCTGGATTAAGGTACTGGCTAAATCGAGGCCAAAATGAATACAAAACTGTAGAAAATCTAGATAACAAGAACAACAGTCTTATGTTTAAATTAATCTTTGTAAAAACTGCATCTAAAAAAATGTACCATGTAGATCAATAACCAAATCTGGTCCGACACTGGTGTCCAGCAAGGCTAAATCTGCTTGGTCAAAACTGCTGTTCCAAGCCATGTCTTCACTCCTGACATAATGCAAGAAAGTAAAATCATTCATCTGTGAGGATGCCATAGTGAAGAAACCCGATGCGCTGGTTGATGGGAACTTTGATCGAAGCCCATTAGAAAACAGTAGCCCATTTAAAAAAAAAAAAAAAAAAAAAAAAAAAAACATCCATCAGGTTATACGATGCAGAATCTTTGCAGCACAATCATAAGCACACCTTAACCAATCAATGAGCCAAGCAGCAGTACTCAGGAGCACTAGAGAGCAGAAGATGGGACACCAGCTGCACAACGAGCAACATCCACCTGCACTGCATCTTCAGTGTTTGGGAAACGC